TGTATCTTCACAGGAAAGGATATGAGAGACGGGAGCTGAGGCGAAACTACCGGTTCCCAGCGCTGAAGGATAAGCATCCATCGCTTGTAGTGGTAAGGTCCCTTGTTTAAAACTTGAGTAAGCTCATGCTCAGATTCGAAACTCATCTGAAACTTATCAAGGCCTAGAGCTCTACCAGTAACTCTTCCTTCCAAATTCCAGACTTGAATCATAAAATCAATGACTGCTCTGGTTTTTTGTACTGTAGTGTTTGTCAGTCTACCAATGAGGGAGAGCCTGTTGGCTTCGACGAGATTTTCATTATTCTGAGTAGCCAGTATACGCACTGGAGGTTTCTTTGCAGGCACAGAGGCCATATCTATTCCCTTTCCTTTTTCAGAGCGGCTGAGTCTCCTGTCCATTGCAGAGGTGAGAGAGAAAGGAGCTTGCAGACCTGAAATTGCTCTTAAATACGCTTGGGAGGGTAGTAAATGCAGGTGAGATTAAACAAAAGTAGCTGTAAATGCTTGTGTAACAGCTTAGCCTTTATCCACACAGGTTATATCAACCAAATCCAACCGTTCTTAGTATAGATCTACCATAAATGCTGGCCCTGAAGCTTGAGAAGATGTCGCTGTTGAAGGAGCCATACCGAAGGGCGAGTAGACACGGCCAAGGAGGTCCCTGGCTGGCTCTCCGACCAAGTCGGGAGCTGAACCCGACGGAAGACGGTTCGGAGCTGGCGTCGGAGGTGGGAACTATCTATTACCCGCTGGAAACTTCTATAAGTAGCTAAACTTTTGAAAAGTTACCAAAAGAAACTGAGGGTAAAAGGTTGACAAAAGGAAGTAAACGGTGGGTAAAAGCGTGGGCTCTAGTTCTCGAAAAGTGTGGCAGGGAGAGAAAAGGGGAACTAGAAAAGTGAACTTTAATTGTTGTTCCTCTTAGAGAACTCTATCTAACATAGATTAAGGGAAACAAAATCTGCTTAAAGTGATAGTTACACAATCCATAAATCTTTCGTTTCAAAATGAGAGGTTGATAATCGATGTAACTAGTTCTTCCTTTACCACACCAATACAAAGAGAAATAACATCATGAATGACTAATTTTTGAAGAGTTTTGTGTAAAAAGGAAGACTATAATTTCTATCTAAGTGAAGAAAAGTGTGACCAAATCAGATCATAAAGCTTATTCTACAATAACAACACACTGTTTGATTCTCTTTAAGTCATCTCTCCTACTTCCACATGAACTCTTGCATTGATCACATCTAACTATCAGTCTTAAGTGTTCCAAAGACACTAGAGAAGTCAGAGACTTCCACTTCTGCTAATGGGCCGAGTTCTCATAATCAGAAAGATATCACGAGGCCCAACAGTACTCCTCAGCAAGCCGTTAAGTCACCTGCATTTTGTCTCAGTCAAAGGACGAGTGCTCAATCTTGTCGTGATCAACGTACCAAGTTTCCATCTCATGGTACGAGAGTGCCAGCGCATGACACCTTTACCTTTAACATACTTGGTTGTTTGGAAGCTTCTACTGCCATGTGCTAATTAACGTGAGCATTAGGTTTAAGGATGTCCTTTTGTATATAAACCAAATGAGTCTTTGTAAAATTCATCAGCCGAATCCTATAATATTAGATGGTAAAGAGAAAAAAAAAACACAAATTAATATTTTTTCGAATATTCTTGATGCGTATTGTACATAGAACTAATAACTGATTTGTTCAAAAAAAAAAAGAACTAATTAGTTTCACTTTCTTCTAACTTTCACCGATGGTTGGTTTTGAAGTTGCACTGAGCATGGGGCATATGAAGAGCACAAAAGTAAGTGACACACGTCATGTATCATATATCCAGCTCTGCTACGTTTTCCAAGAGACGAAGCCTCTCTTATATTCACAGATTTGAAGTATCCACCTTGTCCAATTATGTAGGCTGTTTGGTTGGCACGGCGATTCTCTAGATCGACAACCACAGCGATTCTCTTCTCTTCGTCAAGAAAGAAACTCCCAGCTAGAATACAACTAGGGGCGAATCTCAAGAACTTGCTCCACGAAACCTCACCAGGATCAATCTTATTCGTGACCCAAATCTCTATTGCATGATCAATCACACATATTTGATGTAACACCGCGAGCTTCTCTTCTCTAACACAAGATAACACAAATTTACTTGAAAATTTAGTATTAAACGGCAGAGGCAGTAAATTTCCAAATTTATCCGTTGTATAATTGAAAGAGAGTATACGTTTAATATTATATCCTCCTATTTTTATTTTCTCTTCAGACAAAAAGTAAGTTTGTCCCTTCAAAGACACACCACATTGAGAATCATCTATACTCCACTCGGCATTGAAACTTTGAACCTTCACTATAGTACAGCTCAAATCGAAAATTTCATACCCACGAACCATGTACTCGCCGATGCTTCCAAACTCACCTAAAATCCTCAAGATTTTGTAGTTACGGTTCTTGTCATATCCAATAGCGTATCTGTCTTTGTGGAAACTGTTTCTTGGTTGGATCCACAATGTTTGCCCTAAATAAGGATTCCATACCAAAAGCCTTGACATGTCTCTGGTGACGCATAGCAATAAGCCTTCACACTGAAAGATTTGAGATATCTCTGCATGGTCAAGTAGACCTACTTGGTTTATAGATGGATCAACGATGTCTGCTTCGTTTTGGATTCCTTGGAGATCAAACTTCATCGAGCAAACCCTATAACCCTTCATTATGAACCCTAGAAACTGCTTCCTTCTTGCTAGTGATTCACACAAAGCCTCAGATTTAGAGATAGAGTTCCACTTTTTGCAAGTGGATCGTACTATGCTTAGGGATGTCAATGGAACCCTAGAGAATATCTCCTTTGTCAAATCTTCTGGAAGATCGGACATTGTTGTCATTCTTTCCGAAGTTAAAAATTACGTAGGTTTTTTTTTTTAAACTTCCTACGATTTCCCTTGCTGTTTTCTTTATATATAGATAAATAATCAAGTTAGGGTACGATCGTTTTATGTGTCACCGCCTTTTACTTTTTTTTTCCATTACTTGTTTGTTGCTATTAAAACTGGGAAAAACAAAATAGGAAAATTAACAATCTTATTATCTCATTAAACGAATATTTTAGCCGATTGAAATCTTGTCAAAATTTAATTGTTTTATTTTTATATAACACATAGATGTAGGAATAAATGTAATAAAATATCCTAAATATAAAAATCCTTAACTATAGATTTTAATAAAAGATTTAAAATCAGTAATTAAATAACAGCAGATTATAAAACATATAGAATTAACTTTAAATCTATTTCTACTATTGAATATCATCCCTTTAGATTTAGGGATAATTTGATAAAATCGAAAACCAATTTAATAAAAGATAATTTAAGTTTTGTTCCTGGTAAGATTTGGAGCTTCCCATCGATTTCTAAGTTGTATTCGGGGTAAACAAAAGGGCAGCCTCAAAAGGATTCTTGCGGAATACGTCAGAGATATCAAGAAGAAATAGATATTAGGTGCCAGTCTTATCCTTTGAGAAGTTTTTTTTTCTTCTCTTTTTCTTGAAAGATTTGTTCCTGAAGGTAATTAAGAGAGTGAACCATCTTTAATGGAACAGAGACACGATCAAGTCAATTACATAGGATCAATTTTTGAAAGAGAAAAAAAAAGACAAAACATTTCAGTAACTGTATTAAAATGTAGTTTATTATGTTTATATACAGTTAACTTAGAAGTTTTAGCATCCGGATCCGTGGCGCAATGGTAGCGCGTCTGACTCCAGATCAGAAGGTTGCGTGTTCGATCCACGTCGGGTTCAAAATCCCGAAAATTTCCGGAATATTTTTTGCTCTAGTTCAAGTTTTGCCTTTTTGCTGCATGCGTCTGAATCTCTGATGATTGGGGTTTGCTTAACCGAAAAATTCAGACACGGTTTGATTAGGTTTTCTTTCAATCTAGCCTACAGTTACTTTGTATATGACCAATACAATTAACTCATCTCTCTACTTCCACATAAATCACATACATAACACCACAGTCATGTGATTTATTAGTTAAAAGGCCGATTTGATTAAACCACAATTCACGAATTTCATGACCAGTTGCAGATAGGCCGAATTCTATAATACAATAGCGGAAATAAATTATGCACATCTCTCTACGTCGTCATAAACCCCTACATTAATCATATAGTGTTTAGACAATTATTTGCAATAACCTCATACTAATCAAATCGAATGTTGATAAATATATAACTGCCAACATTTTTAAAAGCTGAACCAATGTCGGTGAGATTTTGGATTTCCAGCCCAAAGAAAACTTTCAGGCAAGCTTGGTATATGCAGCCTGATAGTAGTCGCTGCGAGAGCTCCTGAAGGTTATAGTCTTTTGTATGTAAAACATTAACTGATTGATTTCAACTTACAAAGTTGTAGAACTTTTTGTACAAGCATATTATTGTATAACATAAGGTTTTGTAAAAGTTATTGTCTTTGACAAGCAAACAAAAACAAATAAGTAAAAATACTGATTGTGTGGGATCACTTCATTAAAATCAGACAAAAAGCAAATCTTACAAATACCGCACTTATATTGAACTGACATATTAATTGGTCGTCTGTATTTGACATATTTTACATCTACAAATGTCCCTTATTTTTACTTTACTGTAAGTTTGGACTCAAAAAAAGATCTTGTCTTGTTGTAAATTCTTCCATTATAATCAATATCAAGTTATAACTTTTTCCCTTTATAGTCTTATCTAGCTATAAGAAATGTGTTGAAAAAGTTGTGACATCCACCTCGTCGAAAAACAAAACATCTTCATTTATTTCAATCATTTTCCACACTTTATTGCATGTGAAAATATCATACTTTTTAGCTAAAGACCACAAAAACATTCAAATAATTATTCAAAGATCAAGATATATGGTCAACTAGAGCATATTATCATTTATTTTGTTTTTGAAAATATTCTAGAGCATATTATTTTCCATTTCATTTTAATGACAAGCCCGGACATAATTATAATTAGTGTGAAATTTCCAAATTGCAAATAGTAATTTAACCGATCAGGAGCTGAAAACTAAATTAATCATCACTTTAACGAACGTGTTAATGTGTAATCGACAGTCGCATATTTTGTGGCCATGTGTGATATATTCATATTTTTAATGCATGCCACCAAGCAGAGCGTGATGCGTCTCTATCTTTTGTTGTGGATCCCACTTGTGTTCCTGCATTAGATTGGATCTAATAAGAAGAACCATTAAGATTATATAAAATTTATAGTACTTATATGTGGCGATCGATACATTTATATTTTTGCATTTCCAATTTATGAAATAGGTTTATAAGCCAAAGTCACCCTGATGGACGACCGAATCCAATGCATATCCTTCTATTTACTTTATGCTTTTCATGTGCCACATTTCATTATTATATTTTCATCCTCTTCTTTTTCTTTTACGTTTCAGTTACCTAATAATTTTGTAAATGATCAAATAATTATATTTTTAAAGTGATGGTTCCATATTCATCATAAAGAAACTACAACAAAAAAAAAACTTTTAGTCGACCAATAATCATGGTCTTTTTCTGAATCCAAAAGAAAATCAGAAGCAAAATAGACAATTGCATAAAACTTTAATCAGATATTTATATATAAACTTGCACCGTTTTGATTCTCCTTTGGTGAACATGCAACATATAAATTTTTTAAGACGCAGAACAAAAATAAGAAAAGGAAAAACGATTATAAATAAATAAAAACCTAGATCTGCATGTATATACCCATATAATAATACTAATATAAAAACTTAGATAGATTCATTGTATGAGCAAAAAAATCTAACTAACCCTGCCAAGGCTTTGGATGAATCTGATCGGAAGAAGAGCCATTGATGCAATTCCCTAGACCGGCAAAACTTAGAATCTCATTATGAGACATTAACGGTCTCAACCCCAAGAAATCTCTCGTCAAACCCTCTCCTCCTCCTCCGTTTCCACCGCTTTTATTCTTGTCTGAACCTGAAGTTGTTGTAGTATCAACGTTTGTCCTCAAGAACCCGCCGAATGTATCGTCAAAGACTTCTTCTCCACCGTGATGATCAAACTCGGAGTCATTGTAGTCTTGAAACAAAACTTGGTTGTTGTTGTTGGAGCTGATGTAACCAGATTGTGATGTCATCATCGTCGCCATTGTTGTGGTGAGGTTATTGTGATGTGCTGGCCTCTCCGAGTCCGTGGATGGTGGTGTCTTTGTGGAACCCATTTGCGCTGCTTTTTGTAGCAATGCGGTGGCTGACATAGCGGGAGAGGTTGCAAGAGAGAACAAACCTCCTCCTCCACCATTACTAGGGTTAGGGTTTGGAGATGTGAGCCAAGGAGGGATGCTGTGCTGGTGGTAATTGATGATATGATCATTGCTTTGTTGTTGCTCTATCTTCATTGGAAACGTATGGAGGTGGCTGCTGCTAGTGTTGCTATTATCAGTACCAATGTGGTTGGTCTCAAAGTGAAGGCTGCTCATGATGTTGTGGGGAGATGACAAAGAGGAAGAGACGTTCATGGTTGGTTGTGCTTGAAGATGAGAAGAAGGTTGGTGCATCATAAGAGGGTTTGGTTGATGATTCTGGTTTTGTGGTATTACAACTTCTCTTGCAGTCTCTTCGGCCAATGCTTCACAAAATGCTCTATGAGTTATGAAACTATCCCTCCTGATTATTTACCAAACAACAAAACCATAATGTGATCAATAACAATGTTAATTAATATGAACAAATGTCACGTTGAGAATAGCTATGTGGTCCATCTAAAGCATGTAGCAATCACATATGTATTTGTAAGATGAATTATTAATGCAAGAAAAAGGAGAAATAAAAGAGACCCATAATAGTTTTTAGGTGAAAAAAAAGGAAGAAAAGTACCCTGAACTAGTTTCATATTATAAATGAAGATTCTTTTGAGCTACCATTCTTGTCCTCTTTCAAATTAAATGAAATTACTCATATCAAAACAGAATACTTTGTACCATGTGTCCGTCCAGTTCTTACAACACAACAACATCCCCAATTCAAAACCAGGTATTAATTGTAATAACTAAATATTCCAAAATCATTTAATATATAGAAAGAAAATAAAAAAATGGGTTTTGTTTACCTAGAAAAGAGAGTGCCACAGTCACATTTGTATTCTTTGGTGCCACAAGTCTTAGAATGAGCCTTGCAATCTGATTGAACCGCATATTTCTTTGAACATTTGTCACATTTCCACTTCTTCTCTCCATGCTTTCTACAGAAATGCTTCTTGATTCCTGTCAAGTCACCGAGAGCTCGAGATGGGTCATGGTGGACACAGCTTGCTTCTGGACAAACATACACTTTCTTCCTAATCACTTCTTTGTTAGATCGTTGTTTCAGCTTCCATGGCAGATTGTGACCTCTCCTGTGAAGTTGTAGATTCTGGTCTCTTTGGAATCCTTTGTTGCAGATCTCACACACGAATCTGTTTGTTGCCATTAGTGTTTTTGGTGATAAAGCAATCACTTCTGATTCCGGGTCTGAAATAAAATAAAAAATTGAAAGTTGAAACCATTATAAGTCATAAACTCCAAAAAAAATACTAATAAAATTTGTCTGATAATGGGCAAACTAACACTAACAAAGAAAACGATTGGTGTTTTAACTTAAAACTAGATTTTGAACCCGCACATCCGTGCGGGTATTTTTCCATTTTATAAAAATATAACAAAATATTTCAAATATATATAATTTATATTTTATTGTTATATATTGTATAATTGTATAATCTTATAATTTTAATTATTTTTATATAATATATTGGTGTAAGTTTTAAAATAAAAAAAAATATTCATAAATAATTTTTTATATAATGTATTTGTTGTGAGTTACAAAAATATATGTTAACATTTTTGTATAAAAATATATATAATTTAAAAACTTTAATATGTTTTAAAAGGGAGTGATATTTATTTATTTATTTGAATAAAATATTTTTTTAAAAAATAAAATATTTTTCTTTACCAATTTAATATATTTTATATTCATTTCAAATAGAATTTAATTTAATATAATACAGAATATAACTAAATTATAAAACATAACAATTTTTATTTTTAATTAACATTAATATAAATATTTATATATATTAATCACGAAATTAAATAATGCATATATTATAAAAATATTTAAACTTCTTAGTAAGATCTTGTTAGATATTTTCTCAACAAATTTATTACTAATATCCTATTATTATTAAAATATTCATCCAGTTATATATATTTGATTGATTAACATAAATATTTAAATATGTCATTTTAATGAGATAGTCCAACATGACTTTTTATAGTAGATATAAATGGTACTTCTCTTTTAATAGAGAAGATAGTAAATATATTTAGGAAAATATAGTTACCACGCACATTAAAAATCCAACAATACACATGTCCTTAAAATCAGAAATTTCAAAGAAAATACTAATAAAGTTGTGTTTTTCTCTTTTTGATCTAAGTTTTTGTTTCTTTTCTTTGTTTAGTATAGAAATGATAAAGAGAACAAAAGGGTAAAAAGAATATTCTGTTTGGGAGAAGACCCATAATTTTCCAAGAAGGTGACAGTATCAAATAATTGGAATAATGACTAAGTCAGAAACCAAAGAAAAAAAGTTGTGTATATTTCTTTTTAACCATTCTTTTCAAACGAACCTGGATTCCCTGGTTGGTTTCTCCTCTTCTTTTGAGGCTGAGATTCAGGAACAAAGAACTGTTGTTGCTCTTCTTGTTGTTGGTGTTGAGGGAAGTAATTAGAACCACTTGCTTCAGTTCTGTTTCCTGAAGAGACACTTGCTTGATCCCCAGAAGCTGATGTTAGATTCGACATATTCTCCTCTTGTTGTTGTACTTGCTGATGAAGTAAGATGTCTTCGTTCATCATCACCAATGCCTTGAGAGAAAGAAACAAAAGGAACAAGCAAAAAAAATAAGAACAGACAAAAAAAAAATTCAGATCTATATAAATATAAATAAATATAGACATATACTGAAAAGAAAACGGAGACAAAAGAGAAGATTTAATAGATACATACAAGAAATGAACCCCTATATATTCAATCCTAACTTCCTTTCTTTGATTTTTGTGTGTATGTGTGTTTATAAATATATGTATCACTTCCTTCTTTGGCTTCAACCCAAGAGACAACCTCTATCCACTTTTCTGGTTCATATTTAAAACCAACAAATTAATGTAAATGAAACAAAATAGATGTAGCTACAAATTACTACACAGAAACATGATCAAGAACTTGACAAATTATTTTTGTAGAGAGCACAGAAGAAGGAAGAAAGTCCAATATACCTAGAAGTAGAAAGAGAGAGAAGAGTGAGAGAGATTGTGAGCAAGAGAAACTCTATTATATTTCTTTCTCTATGTATTTGAAGCACAGATATTCAAAAGATATAAATAAAAATAAAAATACAGAGAAAATGAGGAGGAACCCTACCGCTAAAGAAAAATGGCATTTTCTGCTCTTTTTATATATTTTTCTGTAACAAGCCAAGAGCAATATGTCCTTTCTTTATCATTACCTGCAAATTTGTTTTCGTGTTTCTTTTCAAAAATTTCCACAAGTTTTAATAATTGGAAAAGAAATAAAAAAATTAAAATCTTGATAAAGGCACGGTCGGTGGCTGATAAATACTAACTTAGCACTGTAAAAAGTTAGAGAAAGAGTTTTTGCAATTTTGTTTTGTCGTCTTTCAGAGTTTTTGCAATTTTGTTGTTTTTACGTCTCTCGAGAAGCAGTAGACAAATTCTGTTAGTCAATATTTTTGAATTATAAACTTCACTATTTCCTTACTCTTATGAATACAAAAAAAGTAACTTCACTATTTTCTTACTCTTATGAATACAAAAAACTAGTAATTCTGATTCACACAGAGTAAGAAAATAGTGAAAAAAATTATGTCACACAGAAAAAGTTTGTGACAAATATACTTATTCATGGTCCACGTTAATAATTGCCGACCAAAATTAGTGAAATTATGATATGAGTATATTCTCTATTTATTCAAACAAATTCTTTTTTTTTTAGTTGAGTTTAATTACTTTTACAGCTTTACACTTTGATTTACAGAACTAAGCTATGATTGAGTCATTGATTAAAATTTGAGGTTGTGATAAAAAAGGTAACCTTTCTATTGCATCTATTTTCTTTTCGATTTGATGCTTTTCATGTTCAGCAAAAATGAGAGAGTCTACACTGAATGGATTGCTGAAGAGAATTTAAATGGATTAATCATGTGCCAGTGCCGCATGCCCTAACCTACTTTATGACCAAAGATATCAGCAGATTAGGCACATATATAGGTTAATATAGTGTACATTTACACCGTGTGTATGATTCAGAAGTTGAAAAGGAAACTGAGTCGGAGACAAATAATAGGGAAGTCGAAATTTTCAACGTTCTAAAGGACCGTCGAGCCAATAAAAGTCATGCAATATATGCAAGTAATAATGATAATAAACAATGATAACATTCTGAAATGATATGAGAAGGTGATGAAAAATGAAAGACCATAATTTTTAATTATCTATATAACCGTATAGATATTGACTTGTTTATCAACACACTCCGTGTTTCTTTACCTGAAAATCCAATTAAATTGTCTATAAGTACCCACTTCCAGCATAGAATTTTAAAACAAAAAAGCTTATATGATATGACATCTTTTCAATTAATGAAAATATATTTTTTTGTGCCCAATGCGATTCTGGCATATAGAATTCATTTTACCTTTAATTTACATGGGAGTGGAATAGATTAGGTTAGAGGAGAACGAACATGAAAAACGATCTACTACACAGAGTTAGGTTTCGATAATTTGCACCATATTGGGAAACGAAGTTTGCTGAAATTGTTATACTTCTAGCATAATCTGGAAAGCAAAAAAATAAACTATCAGGCAAATTCATAATTAAATGTCTACTGGAGTCATATATTGTCATTCAATTTGCTGACACCCATGCATCCAGAATAGTATTACCTCTATAGTGTGAAAAAGACTAAAAAATTGGCAATAATAAATACTAGTAGCATACAACCAATTATGATAATACTGTGCTCTTGCTCCTTTTTTTTTCTTCTTATGAGGTGCTAGAAATTTTGCTACATGTTGGCCGCCGTCTTCAACATATAGTTTGTGGTAAATCTTACATTTAAAAGGTAATCCCAATAACCACATAAAGAGCATGTTTCATCAACAGATTGAATGGGTTGTCTTGAAAATTGTTTTTGGTGAACAATATAAAATGTTTGTACTTTTGTCTTCTTCTTGTTTTATTCCACAATTATTTAGCTTTTCGCAATGTGGTTTGTCCGATCCTCTTCCCAATATAAAACACCAGCTCACCCCCACATATTAAACTAACTTTACAAGAAACCTCATTAGCTATCAAAATTATGTATATCAAAATAGTGTAATGTTTATATAGTTTGAATTTGAAAATAACCTAATTATAAAATGAAAATTTTATTTTAATGTTTGATAAGTTTGATAGTATTACATAAAAATTTTATTAGTTACTATTAAATCTTACTTATAGTATTGATTTCTATATTTTCTTAAAAAAATATTAATTAAAATTTTATACTTTTAAAATTAAAAAATAGAAATTCTATAATATATTTTCTTACAATACGACATTTAGTGATTTATTAATAGAAAGGAAAATTTGGTTATGTAAATGATTTTAAAATACATTAATTACAAATTTGAACTACTTAATAATAGTTATTGAAATATATTATTAAATAAAATATACTAAAATATATATATTTTAAAATTTGGTGTGATGAATTGGTGTAACACTATTTACTTTACACCAAATTTGGTGAGATATTATCAAATTTGATATTTTGTTGGAGATGAATTTATACCAAATTTGGTGTTTTGGTACATTGTTAGAAATGACCTTAAAACATAATTTGACATTTTGAATAAGAAATATCTATTATTTAAGAAATGTTTCTTAATTTTTTTAATTAAAATCTAAGATATGTATCTTATAATACACTAAGAACATCACCCCTAAAAGACCCTATTAATCATGGTCTAATGAGCCCCCTATATTGCACAATCACGAGGTCGCATATGGTTTGAACTAATCAAATCTTCTCAGATAATAAGCACCTCCAGAATCACACATATAAAGGGAGAAATCTCAAAATATGTTGAAGATGAACTTCTCGTGATGTAGAACAATTTCCCTTTTTTTTTTTTTAAATCTGATCGTCCATTTTCGGTAAACCAGAAGCAAAACAGTAAAGCTGACATGAAATAAAATATCAGTTTAGGTGAAAAACTTGGATAGGCATGTGTATATTATTTTATTAATCTCTCCTGAAATTAAGGGTCTATAAAAGATTATACGTCCTTGTCTCAATGTCAGCTATGCATGGCTTAGCCTAAGATTATACAAAAATATAATATCCTGACACCACATAAATAATCATTTCGTAGATCATTAGAATAAATGAATGTGTAACAAGTTTGAATGCTTCAAACGACTGATTACGATGATACATGTGATAGATCTGATTCAACTAAAAACAAAGGTCTAATTGATTTCTTAATTGCTTACAAAGTGTAGGTGTTAGTAAGTAATTTCAAACGTGCAATGGACATATATGCAATGTTAATCATTAAAGAGAAAAATCGAAAGGTAATGTTTATCATTTTAAAATGAAACTGGAAAGTTTGTGAGTTACAGTGTATAGCGTCAATTAGTCACAGGTCGAGTTCACGAGCGGAGCATATGTATCAGGTAGGACCATTTGTTTATGAAAATGATTGAGCTAACACGTGGTCCCTATCTGCTCCTGTTTAACAATCAACTAATTACAGTAGTTAATGATTAACCTTATAAGACTAGTTACATTTCTTTGACATTCACACCTAACATTCATATAGTTTTATTTTCTCAGGTGTCGTTTTCTCCCACTAGGCACTAACATTAGTAACATGCACAACCTTAATTATTTTTTTTTATTTTTTTTTGTCAGCCCTTAATTATTTTCTTTAACTAGTTGTTTTTTTGAACGATTCTTTAACTAGTTCTACAGAAGAAAAAGAAGAAAATTTAGTTATGCGAAACTCTAATAGTTTGTTTTTTTGTTAAAGGATTTAAAACTCTAATAGTTATAAGTTTAAAGTTTTGAATTTTCAAAATAAAGTTCAATTATTATTTTCTTAAGAATGATATTATATTTTAGGGAACCCTCTCATGTCACCTTCGGTAATAGACACGCGTGAAAACGACAGGTTCAGTGAACCATACTGGACCGACAAGGACACGTGTGAAGATACCATTGGATTCTAAACGGAACAGAGCCATGCAATCTTGTCGCTGGCTTAGGAGACGCCCTTTAAGACTACATCCGTTCCCGTGTTTTATGATTCTGGTCTTCCTCTTGCCACTGTCACTATGAAACGTCTCCGTTTCGCTGGTCCCCTCAACGAACCAAATACAAATCAGATATTTAGCCAAACCGGTTTGCGAATACCAAAATTTATTAGTACCATATTGCTTACTATGATTCAGTGAAAATCTGTGGGATGACTTATGTGAACAGAATACAAAACAGTTCAATTCTACAACAAATGAATATTAACCGGTTATACCAGGTATACAATAGTAAACCGAGTTAAACTGAGATTGGTACGCAAAGACCGTAGCTTAGTTGAACATCGAGGCCCTCTTCGCTCACTTTTTTGTGATCCAACAAATGCATCATTTCCTTCAAAGAAAACAAACATCAAAATCAAGGAAAGAAAAGAGAAAATGTGTTCATTGTATATAATACTAGTACTACGTAGCTCTTTACTCTTGTGATCTAAAGGAACATTATGCATTGGGCCTTAGCCCATACTAAAATCTCTGAATGAGTAATTGTAACTAGAACATACGTTAGTGTCGATTGTACAAACCGTATATAAGGAAACTGTATCCCAAGTTCGATACACAAGAAACCTTTGACCACTTCTAAGATTCTTAACATGGTATTAGAACCTGTAAACCTAACTACAGCTTGTGTTTTGGATTAAAAAATGATGGTCTGCGAGCTTAATGGCTAGAATGAGTCATATATTTCCCGCGCGTCTCTAGTGTATTTAAAAGCTAGAGGACAACAACAACATCAACACCAGTTCAACATTATCTGATGCTCCTGCGAGAAAAGAAAACAGGAGATAGCATTTTTAGTGGAGAATTTGACGTTATTTTCTTTTTGAAAGAGCTTACGATGTATTATCATTATCATTCCCCAAGCTGGTGCAAGCAAAGCATCCTGGAATGTCAAAATCGAGAGTGAAAACCAAATAAGAGTAAGTTCAAAAAAAACATATAAGTGTAAAGAGTTACACATAATATTAACAACTAACACATATCTTTGTCTTGTAGCTACCTTCACAATGTACCCTGAGATAGTGCAGCCACTTGTCTGAATCCATAAAGTCCAGAA